TTGATTTAATTTTTTATAAATAGCAATTATTTTTTAGGAGTTTGGGATTTGTCCGGGTTTGGCCGGCAAGTATAGTCATGTAAGGCTCAAAGTTATTTTAATTGGCTAATAAGTTTAGGTAAACTTAAACTATAGATACTAAATCAATATGAGAAGTTGTGAGCTATATATTAATTATATGATTTAAAAAGAGTATGCTCATAGGTATAAGAGACATGCCTGCCTTAACTTAGAGACATGCCTATATAAATATACTCAATTTTTTCCTGTACCCTGAACCCTATATAGAAGTATAGTATCTAACTCGTTAGAGATTATTATATAATACTACAAATTCTGTATTAGTTGTATAGCTAATATTTGATTGAATATGCAGATTTTTTGAAATATATAACTAGTTACATTATTAATCAATATTTTATAGTATATGTAGATATTGCTTGAACAAATTTACAGATATAGAAATTTTTAATTTGTTATACAACAATAGCTTTTTTATTACTTGTCAACAAATTTATTCAATTTAAAACTAATAAAAACTTGTATAAATGCTTTAAAAAGTGGTACTGTATCCTTAACAGACTATTATATTTATATAATCAAATTGGCAATTGAGATCTATCATCTTTCTAATTCAATTCCATTTAAACCTATTATAATTCAAATATTCAACTGACTATGTTATTTATTGTATTATTACTTTCATCTATCTTATCATAGTAAATAATAAGTTTTTTTAGATTACTGTATATTTAGCTAATATCTAAGATATAGTTTAAACTTTTGGTTTAAATTAAGCTTAATTTAGACCAAATTAAGCTTAATTTAGACCAAAAGTTTAAAATACACCCCAGGGCATTATTTTAAGACAATATAGTAGTATTAATAATATTATTAGAAAGAGAGCTTAAGGTTGAGATATTCCATTATGCTACTATAACTGCTTTAACTTTATAAAAAAATTTTTCATATTCTGAAGCAAGTTCAGAATGTGTAACAGGTTAGTGCCAGACTACCAATCAGATTTCAAGATTAGGTGTAATGTTATATAATCAAAACAAGTATTTATTTTGCTAAAAATTGGTTATTTCTCAAAATCTGCATAAAAAACAGTCTTTCGTGCTTTAATAAAAAATTTTCTTGAATGATTTTACTAAATATCTTGCTAATATCTAACCTTAATACAAATGCTAATCTAAACATCAACAAACTTTAAAGAATTTTGTATATTTCAGATGTGTGATTGACAATATACATAACCTGTCACATATTTTAGTCTTGCTATTCTGAGCAAGAATATAGAAAATTAATATAACAGTTTCAATATTATAATACTAAAAAAACTATTCAATTTACCTTATATTCAAGGTCTTGATATTCTGTTATTATAGTGAGAATCTTTAAAATACCATCTTTTAGAACTTGTACAGAAATTCTTCAGTATCACACCATCTCAGACCAATTGTGAAAAGAATTTTTTAACTCTTAAATAGTTTATTAGTAACAAATAGATGTGTCTTGATATCCAAAAGCTTGAGAAGATTTAGAAAGAACTTAACTGCTTAGACACTAAATTAACTAAACATGAATTGTGTAAAATAGTAAATCTTGCATTAATTAATAATTATATTGAAGATGAGAATAATGAAGAAAATGAAAAAAACAATAATATATATAATAATAATCTGTTAATCTGGACTAACCTAGTTTTGGAAGAAATTGTGAATTTAAAAGATCCAATTTTCCAAGAAGGAGATTTTGTATTATATGAAGTTTCAACTAATACCACATGTGATATAAGTAAAACTAATACTGAAGGTGATGCTAATATAGATTTTGATCCTAAAAGTCTTGTTGATACTATCTTAGCTGAATTAGACAATTAAATATAATGATACTATTTCTTTTTTTTTATAATATTTAAACTTTAATATTTTTAATAAATTTAGTTTTGAATAATTAGTAAATATAAAGAATCACTTGCAAACTTGATTAAATCATCAGAAATTGAACCAAATAGTATTTTTCTTAAAAAGCAATGGGTATATTATGATATAAAAGGTTAATTCAAGCAATATAATTCTCAAATAATATATTTTGAATTTTAGCAAATGATTAAAGCAAATAATGAATAAAATAAGCATGTTTTCTTATTTACTTTTTGCTAATTCTTAAATGATCCAATTATTTAATTAAACTCAATGATATAATAATTGGCTAAATTATATGATGTTATATGTTATAAATTTAGTAGTTTTGGCTACAATAAATTTACATAAATAAAAAAAATTTCTTTAATAATTTCAGGAAAATTTTTGCAATTTTGTAAATGCAATGGCACATATTATTAAATATTATGTATATACCAAAATTTTTGGCTCACATCAAATGTTGCGGCACAAGTCAGATGTTGTAGCACAAGTCAAATGTTGTAGCATGGGTCAACTGTTACGGCATATGTCAAGTGTTATTAGTTGTGGCACAATTCAAATGTTAAGGCACGCATCAGATATTACGGTACACATTAGATATTACGGCACACATCAGATATTACGGCACATGTCAGATATTATGGACACGTCAGGTGTTACGGCAAATGTTAGTTATGGCTTTTTGACGAAATTACAGCGGATTGGTAGGTGAGCAGATCTGTATAGTACAGGCTCAATTTTTTAAGAACTACACCATCTTCTATATATTTAAAATCTCTGGGATTATGCAATGTCCACAACTTGCATATTTCATGTGACAATGCTGCAGATCATGTGCGCCAATCAGAATGTAATCACGTGCGTCAATCATCTATAAAAAAATTGAAGAT